TAAAAACAGTTTSAAACATCTGGAGAGTTGCATTTCCATCTTAAGTACAATTTAAAAAATTAAGCATGCCGAATAAAAAGCCCTTGTGAAAAATCCTGTATTGAGGAACCTGTTGTGCCTGTGCAGCACAGCAAGTGTGGCAGGGAACTGTCACGATCCTCCTGCTAAGCACTTAGAGTAGGTACCAAATRCTCTTGTTTCAGCCTACAGAAACTTGTTCAGAACTAGTGAGCCCTTTGAGATACCAGCTGCAAAAAAATCTATCTGAAGAAATCTCGTACGGGAGCAATTACCAGTGCTTTTGCAGGACCAGATGCTGCCCTTAGCATCACAATAAATAGCCGACTTGCAAGAAGATTCCTATCTTGTACATTATGAAGAAATCCTCTCATTTTCAGAGAAAARCAGGGAAGGATCTGGTGGATCTGAGAGCAAACTCTGTAGACTTTTATACGCTTTCAAGAAYACTCCAAAACAAGCATCTCTTTAGCTGTTGTCCCCCTCCAGTCTCAATCTGAATCATCTTTCAATTGCAGGGAACACTGTCGGAGTACAGAACATTGAGTGAGAAAGACTGGAAGACAGACTTGCTCACTTAGATTCAGAATTAAATTAACTTCTGTTGCCCTATTTATCTGTTTTGACAGATAAGCTCTTTATATAATGCAGATGCAGAACAGGAACCTCATAACACAATCAGCAGTTCCACTTACCTATTGCATTGATAACACCGACAACATTAAGCTTGCTCCCACAATTTAACCCTTTCCTTTCACGCCCACACTGCCATGTGACTGCTTTTGAGAAGTATTCCCTGCTTAAATTTTTGCCTTATGATTCTGAATCATACTGAGACAACACCCATAATTTAGGAAACCAAGTGTGCTATACTTAGATACCTGAATTTCATCCAAATTAGAAGACTATAATAGTATGTGTAGCTATTTGTGTCCACAAGCATCCAGTTCTGAAATAATTCCATTGACAATAAAAGAAAGAATGAAGTATGGAGTCTTAAAAAAAAAAAAAGAAAAAAAGGAAAGTCTGCCTGATGGCAGACTGTACAGCTAATTTTACAGCACACAAAGCTCAGACAGAGGACGGAGGGAAAGCTCATACTACCTGAGGCCTGGATAAGAAAACTCAAACCAGTGATGGTTTTATTTCTTTTTTCTTCATCTGAAAGGAAGTTATTACAACTGAAAATTAAGTGTATACTTTATACTCCTATACAAAGCAGAAGAGGATCTGGTTCTACGTAATAGAGACACTTGGTTTTCAACAGTCATAGTGACTACTGACTTATCAACCTGAAAGGAATAGCAATTAAATTAGAATGAAATTAAAGGCATTTGGTAACAATCACTACACTAAAAGTTAATGGATATAACTGACTTAAGAGGAGAAATAATCCACAGAGCCTTCCCAGATCCCACAACCTCAAACAYAAGAGTTTTGCTGCCTGCACTCATGTGCTGGAACTTGCTTTCACGAGTCAGTTTCTCCTCCTGCTGCTTACAGTATGAGTAAAAGCTACTCAAAGCCATCATTGTTTCATGCTTTCCAAACTCCTGRAAAGACTGTTGCATAATTATTCATTAACTATCAATGAGTCACAGATGTAGCAAAAGTGAATGCCAAATCTATACTGAAAAATAACAAGATAACATGAAGGAGGAAAGTATTTATCTGTGAAGTGAAAGCAGGGTTAAACGTAGTTCAAGATGGCAAATAAATAGCTCACAGTTCAGTTAGGCAGGATTTTACTTGCAGGCCGATCTGCAGCCAGAAAGGCGGACAAAGTTATCTGAAGAAACTCTGAAGAATACCCTAAAAGAACATCAAGAATAATCAGAACCCCCAAGTAATAAAAGTGAAACTGTCAGTCTTCTCTTGCCTGTAAACTTCCCCTGACAAGTTTATCCCAGGGTACATGCTAAAAATAAGAGCATACAATCAATACTTGCACCTTGGAGCTACCCTTACAGTTTCTAAGGATTTACTCAAAATTCAGTGAATGCTGCTAAAACCAACAAAACAAGTGTCATATACTTCAGCACAGAAAGAATGACAAGCAGTAACAACATTTTAAAGCAATTCACTTACAGTTCTCCACAGCAGCCCTTCTCTTGTGGCTTGGCTTCCTTTCTCTTTTCAAGTCTGCTTGCTCAGCACTTTGTATAGTATGAAAAAAACAGTATTTTCAAAAATTATGCCTCACAGCTCTTTGCAGGATATTTCTCAGGTCCAAGTTACCTTATTATTATTTATTATTTTATTTTTTGATCTATTAGCAATACTATGCTATGAAAAAAAGGTAAAATATTTACTATTTTTAAATAATTAAAATATTTAGTATAGAAAATATTCAGGAAGAATATAACTTACATTAATTTCTTTGTTTTGTCTCTTGGTTCCAAGTTAGAATAAACTAAGAAACTCAACAAAATCCACTCATGTTTGATAGTTTAATTCTTTAAGAGAAAAAGGAAATAGATACTATGCTTTAACCTTGTAGTTCCCATCCAGAGCTTACAGCTCATGCATGAGCTCTGAAACTGCATTCTCCAAAATGCATATGCTAAAGGAAAGGAAAAAACACATTAGAAGTTGATAAAAAAAAATGATAAAAAAGACACATAGTTTATGCACTAACTTAATGTTACTTTCTCCTGCCTCACCCCAAAATATAAGTAGGGGGAATAGCTGTGCGGGTGCAGAGGTCCTTGAAATGTTAATCTAACAGCTGCTGCAAAATCATAGTACCCAAATCTAGCGAGGAAAAAATCTTTATTGCTTGTATTTCTAAATACACACACACACACACACACACACACACACACACATGTAAAGGTATTTATCTCCCTTTTAAATAGGTGAGTCTCTTTTAAATTAGGTGAGAAAGTCCTCGTGCATTAAGTTGCATCCAATCCAATTACAAAAAAAGCAAAAAGGCAGCAACGACAGTGAGGCAAAAAAGAGCTGAAGTTTAAAAATGGCTGATGTTTAAAAATATATGTATATAATAAAAAGAACTTACCATGCTGTTTGATATCATATATGAAGTTTTAGAATGTACTCTTCCCTCCCCGCCTTTTTTTTTCCCCTAAAAAACCATATCATTTCCATTACCTTGAATCTCCATGTCGCAGATAAGGGGTAAAAAAAAAAAAAAAAATGCTCATGTATATGCACATCAGGATGGAAGTAATACTATCCAGTTAATTATTTTCCAGACTAATTTAAAAAAAAAAGCCACACATGCACAATAAACACTGTAACAACATTTTAAAGGGATTTGTTTATTTTTGGTTTACAAACAAAGGCACCCAAATATTTCTGTTTATGTCTTATAAAAGCTCACAGATTTAGCATTTTTGTTCCAGAGTATCTGTTCCTACAGCAGATAAACCACTACAGGAAAACACAACTTCTTCTGGTCCCCAATTTAAATACCAATATAACCGTTAAGTGAACACGTGGTTTCAAACTGCTCATCTTCTTACTTAACCAGTCAAGAGCACCTCCTGTAACTTGCTAGTCAATTCAATCCAGCAGACTGTATCAAAACATAGTTCAAATACATTTTTGATCAAAATCTGTGCAAACACTGGTATGAAAGACTGCAATAGAACAGGGTCTTGATACAGGAAGAAAATAMAACAAAACAAAAAAAAAAAGCAGTTTCAGAAAGAATTTTATAGACTGACCACAGGAAGTGACAAAACTGATGTGAAAAGTGTGATGCTGGATCTGCCGTCATTTAAGAGAATGACTGATGAGTTTGTGAAAGACATCAAGAGTGCACAGATAACTGTGGTCTCCAAAGAGGAAAAACGTTAGGTTTCTAAAATAGCAATGTTAAAACAGTAGCTGTTAAATATCCTTACGCTTAAAGCACTTCTTCAATTATTCAATAAATTCCTAACCAGTGTTCTGGACCAGAAATAATCCATTTATTGGCTCTGTAGTCCTCAGTATTAAATCAACATAGAAATTCTCATATATATGGTTATAAACAACCAAAATTTGTGAGTGAATTGTTTCATGGAAATAAATTTCACAATGTAGATGTATTTGTTGGGGTTGCCAGCACAGGAAGCAGGAGGGTGTCATTGGATTGTAGGCACCTCTGGGGAAAAAAAAAGTCTACAGTGCAGGAACGCTTAAGCATAATTTTGGGCGAGTAAGAGGATGCTTGAGGAGGCAACTACAATGCAATACACCTAAATGTATTTGTTAAAGTGTAACATCTTCAATCACAGAAGCCATAATTTATTTTCAGCCACAGTCTGAGGTCTCGCACACAARGTGTGGTCCTAGACCATTTAGACTTTTAATCACTAACTTTATATATACATAAGTAACTTTAAAAAAAAAGGAAAAAGGAAAAAAAAAGCAATTACTGTTTAACTACTTACTATAGAATATTTAGCTTCAACAAGGAAGCCATTATCTTTTCAGAATGAGATATACACCTGCAAGAAAGGTGTTCTCTTTAAAGAAAGGTGTTCACAAGAATAGCAAAATAAGTTCTTTACACAATCCAAACAGGACAAAAAAATACCATGGGCAAGCAATGTATAGTTCTTGTGCAATTAAGTTACTGTCTTTTCAAAAAGATTCAAGAACATGTTATTCATGTAAAGTATAAACTAGTAATTTTAATGAGCAGACCCTGGACAAGGTCTATGCAGCAATAAAAGAAGCATTAAAAAGTTTTTAACTAGATGTCCATGCCATCAAAATGTAAAGGGAACTTTCTGTGTTGTTTTAAAGGGGGATTTCATATTTTCTTGGATTTGCTATTTTAAAAAATATTTTCTCTACTAAAAGACAGACATGCAGGAAAACAAATTTCCTCAGATTTAACCTTAAGAATTTAAAATTAAATGACAGATAGAAGAATTATTAACATACTTAGATTTAGAAGCAAAGTGCATCTCCCTCTGCTTGTCCAGTGGAAGGAGRGTGTTATTGGGACAGGGAGAAAAAAAGTATGCTGTGTATTGGCATTTTCCATGCAAACTTCTCATCTTGGAGAGATTTCTTTTAAGATTCCTAATTTACAAAGCATTTGCTAATCTTTCCTTAATATCTCTTAGTAGAGTCTAAAGTCTGTCCAACTACAATCAGTATCATAAATAACTATTAGGCATATTAAACTCTTTTCAAATACATTTACCTTTTAAAGTCAAGTGTAACATATGAATGCTGGCTCTCTGTTTCCAATARTATCATTAAAGAAAAGGGACGGTCAATGAGTTGTATCTTCCTCAGGGTAGCAGTTCCTTCTACCTAAGTCAATGACGGGACCAAGTCTGCTGTCAGAAAAGCAAATTGCTCAGGCTGACATAAACACAAGCTGTACGAGGCCAATTCCAAGCACAGAACTGAATCACTGAGCGCATTCAGACAAATGCCTTTCAGTAATTAAATCAGACAAAAGGCCTTTCAGTAATTAAAGGAGGACATTTTAAGGACTCTCTCTTTTTTCTTCTTTTTTTTTTTTTTTTTTTTTTTTTTTTTTTTTTAAGCAGTCACCCTTAACATCCTTACTTAGAGAGAATAGGAGAATGCTGCAGAAAGTAAAAACAAATTACAGAAGAGTCCTGCAAATTTCTTCCAGGAGATCCACCATCATTTACACAGGTTTGCAACTTGATAAAACCCTTTGCAATTTAGAAGAATTTCAAATAAATATGTCTACAATAGCTAGCAACTAAGTCAGTATTTATCCCGCTCAATGTGGAGTAAAAAACAAAAGGAAAGAACAACAACAACTTATGTTAAGGCAGATTTCAATCAAATGCATTCCAGATTGCACAGTTACGCTGGTCAGTGGTCTATAAATGTTTTCCCCAGGTCAAGGAGTTGTTAGAGCTGTTTTAAAGGTTTATCCAATGTCAATTCAACCTGGCACCTGACCATTTATTTTCTGTTTTCATGGAAATACACAATTAAATTACATATACCATACCGTATATTTCGCACTCCGATTTAGGATGAGATTATGCTTTTATAAAATGAGATGACTACATGTTACAGGCTTTGTGCAGTTAGACCACCATATGCATAGATGTCCTAATGCTAAATTCTCTTCTTCAGTATCTCATAGTGCTGGAGGCTCTGAAGTAGGAGAGGAACTTGTAACACAGACTGACCACAAAGTACCAGATGTTTCTCGCCATTTGCGATCTTGCAATAAAGATACGCCAGATGAGGATCACAAGAAYGGTATTGAAGCCATAGCGTATGTTCCTTAACCTGCGTGGTGAAAACAAACAAAAAGCACTGAGATTTTATCAAGTCTTGGAGGAAAAAGAAAACTCTGGGTTGTTCACTTCTACTGTAAAATTTAATTTGCTCATCTGTTCATCTCCAGATAAATTGTGTGATATTAAATGTGTAACTAAGCAGAGTAAGGCTAAGCTGTCACAGTTCACTGCTGAAAGAACACCACAAGAGAATCAAGGAACACTGCCAGGCCATGAGGTGAAGAGTCCAGCCCTGTGTCAAGAGACCACCTCCGCAGAATGAACAATTTTACTTCTTTCATTAAATCTTGCTAAATGAATGAGCCTGTTTGTTCTGTTTCGTACCTTTCTGCTTTCCAAAAGAAACCTGGGTAAAACCAGAAACCTCTCCTTTAGTGTACGTTATTGATGAAAGCTATAAAGATAATACTGGAATAATACTTGAACTCTTCATACTGCAAACTTAAGAAGCAAAACGGATGAGGAAAGATGTGGCACCTGTTTGCTTTAGAAAATGCTTCAGACAACTGGGCTGGAACTCTAGCGGATCTAAGCAGGTGCTATAAAGAACAATTAAATCCCAAAATGCAACTTACTTATTTAAGTGTTTCCTAGCTGCAGGGAGGCCAGACATTTCTTCATTTAGCACATACTTCTTTGTTCCCATACAGTAATTTTCCATGTATTCTGCCCAATGCAGTTGTCGAACATCGAAATTAAATGTCTGCATAAAATAAAGCTTTCACTATTAGTTGCCTAAAACTTTAACATTTCACTATTTCCTTTAAATTATCAACACAGGTGAACTCCTCCACACCAGATAGTTTCCTTGCATAAACAAATCACAACTACAAAAAAWGGAAGTATCTTGTCCTTAAGTATGATTCAGATTTTGATCCCATTTTTGACTTAACCATATATGACCTTACATGCTCTCTGGCAAATTTCAACCAGTTCATGCCTATTTTTCTCATTGGTAATATTCTCTCAGCTTCCAAGTACACTGCTTTTCCATTTCTTCGGTCTGTAAGGAACTCCACTCTAGATATTCAAAAGCTATTTTGCATTATGTTTTCTTCTAAGTAATAAAATAGTTCTAACATGCTACTGAATAAATATACTRTTCCACACTGTTCTGTGCCAAGTTCATTGTTTGATAAGTGCATAGTTTTAACTGTGCTTATAGTTGTACAACTGTATTTACAATGTTAACCACATAGAAATATTCACCAGGAAAGGAAATTGCTGGGATAAATTGACAATTCAAGTTTCACTGGTGTCTTGATTTCCTCATCTCAAAAGATTCCATGACAGTGATAAAAGGTCCAGGGGAAGACCAAGACTTCCCTATCGAGATGTTAACTCTGTTCTTTCACAAAAAAGACTAAGCAAAATTATACTAGGAACAAAAGACAAATAAGCAGGTTTGTGCAGTGAAACTATTCAGCTTTYTTTTTGCATTGAAACAGTGCAGTAGTACAAAGCTATTTGAAAACACAAGAAGTCCCAAGTTGTTCTGTTAAAAGAAACATTTCAAGATTTTTTCCCCTCAGCTTGAGTGGAGTTCATTTCAGGAAAAAAAATCAACATTAACACTCCACACAACAATCAGCAGAATTGGCTGATAAAAGGCTACAGTGTGTTTCCAAAAATCTGATGTATTTCAAGACAGTTTAACAAATCCCCTTCCGGGGGACCTGTACCATCTTTAGCCACTCATTTCTTCTCTCACCAGTTTAATACCTTTATAAAAAGGACTCTTCTTGAAACYTGAAACATCACTAAGCCAGTTTACAACATGGTCCCACGCAGATAACACTGGCAGTACTGTGTCAGATCTGCTGAGTTAGTGCTAARTTTAGCTCTATGCTACAAGCAGCATTTCCAGTTCAAGTCCTAAACCAATAAGCTTATTTTGCAGTGTGTCTGTACCCACATCACACATTTACTTGCCTTTTTGTCTTCAGGATTTAGCTGATTCATTAACATAGTCATATTTTCAGTATTCCAGATCCAAGAATTGCTTGTAAAGTACTCTAGTAACATCATGGCCTTATGAAGACGTGTTATTGTTTTCATCATCCTACAGTCCAAGGAATGGTATGTACAAGTTATAGCAGTAAAGATTAGTTCAATGAAGGAAAACAACCAGATTATAAATTTCATTACCCTCCAACCCTTCACCCTAAGTAGATACATCCCAACTTGCTCTGTACCCAAAACATGAAAAATTAGATGAATAAGATATTTCTGCATATTACACAAGAAAGACACTACTGGATTTTAGGTATCCAAAGGGAATGTGACCCTACTGAAACAGCTCATTTTTTTTTCATTATTCCTACATCCAGTATGTGCAGTAACTTTCTTCTCTAAGAAAAGTGACCATCACAGAAAAACATTATACCACCTTTTCATTTTAGGACAGTAGCACAGAAAGACATTCACTTGCTCTTTTCCTTAACCCTACTGCTTCTCCAGCAAAGGGTGGAAAATCTTTAAGGGAACAACTAGACTACAGCATGTTCCAAAAGTTAATTGATCTCCTGGGCTACTTCAAAATATGCAGAAATACTTTCCATCATCCTTTATTATGCAGAAGATGAAACTCTGCAAAAACATCACTTGGAGTACGGAGAAATTATGCTATAAGGATCAAACTGAGCAAGTTTCCTTCTGATCAGATTGTTTGAGGGTGGAACCAAGAAAGTGAATTATTCTGCTCCATTGCAAAATTCCCCGCTTTCCGAAAAGAAAGTTCCTAAATGTTACAGTACTAAAGAAAGTCTCTCAAATTGTGTAAGTACTAATAGCATAAAACCTAATATTATTAAATTCCTGCTCAAGGATTTTTTTCTATTTCACAGAACTGCTTCCAATTTGATCCTTACAGCAAGATACATTGAATATTTTAAGCASGGAGGAAAGAGGTGGGGTAGGGGGGAAGAACAAAGCAGAACAACCCAGCACTAATAGGAAATGGCTTTCTGAAAATAATGTTTGTTCAAGAAGCATAGTTGCAATTCAAAACAAAAACACACATCGATTCTTCTCTGGAAGCTTTCTTGGTGCATTCATACTTGTAGGAGGGATATAGCACATAGTCCCAGAAACTCCTCCAAAGAAAAGTTATTTTGCATTGCACAAGTGTCTCCTACTATTATTAATGACTGACAATTTCAGTATCTAAGGGAATACTGAAAATGTCTCTTTTTGTTTCTTCTCATGAAATGTAAGAATACAGTGTGCATTATTGAACAAGCGCATCTGAAGTGGAAAAGTACAAACTCTCCATCTCCATGGGTACCTATTTACAGATTTATTGAGCCATATTGAAACTTTACGCCATCATCTCATTTCTTTAGCAGTCATTCCTGAATGCTTTCAAACACCTGTTTACAGGTTTTCCAGTTAGGTAAAGTGGTAGTGGTGGGACATTACTTCAAATTAGAGTAACTCTGATTCAAAAGTAGCTGAGCTGAACATCCAAAAAGTGGAACAAGCTCAGTCCCCAAATGCCTTAAGAGTTAAACAAACAAAAGAGGATTGTTTGAAACGAATTCGGAACCACAAAGCAAAAAATGTCACTGATCAGGAAAGTCAAAAAGATCTCACAGAGAATTGTCCTGGATAAAGACAGTGCCAAACTAAAGCAAGAGGCTAAGTGTTCAGGCTCTTCTGTAGAGATGTATTTGCTGAGAGACTAAGATGACTTATGTGACTTGCACTTATGCACTAGTGGGCTTCCCCAATCTGGTATATGCTTGAACTAAGCTGGAAGAATGGCTGGGTTCTACTTGGACTGCTACAGCCTAAGAGGACTTGCACTGCTACAAAATGCTAAAGAGGACAAGCAAAATCTGAATAGGTAAGTGCAGATTTACAATTTGTCACTAGCCAGCGATGTTGCTTTTAGATCCTCTTTTTCTGTAAAAAAAAAAAAATAAGTTAAAATTTCTGCTGGGAATCTTGCCTCTGCTTACCGAAGGGGTTTCAGAGCGCAGCTAAGCTGATGAAACAGCAAGCTCCTAACAGGTATGTTAGGACCTAACATAACAAGACTGGTATGTCAACATTTAATGTAATTCAGTGGATGTTGTAGCTTTATCAGACTAGGGTTTAGTAGAGAGACTTCATAATTTCAAGGGCACCATATTCCTCTTGCAAGTGGGAACACACAGATTACTTGAAAAACAATATAGACATTCACATTGAACTTCATCTCTCAAGCTGAAGTTTTGAAATATACACTTCATAGGTTGTTCCAGAGATAGCAATTAACTTCATGTAAGTAGTAAATATATCAAAACCACACAAAACCCGTTAATATAGTATCAAACACAGCACCACACTTTCTTCATAAGCTGATGAGAAAGTCTAATTTTTCTGTCTTAAAGAACTGAACAGCTGCTGTAATCACTAAGTCGGTGTGACAACATGCAAAGCTTTCATCTATTCTATGCAGAACTTTGCCTCTGTTAGCCAGTTCTTATTGTCATTAGTACAAAAAATACTAAGCAGATCAAGAAGCACATCTCAGAAATTCAAAGTTTTAAGCAACAGTCAAACAAATTAAGCGTCCGTCATTTCAGTGATCATGTTTCTACATGAGACGATAAAAAGCAGCCAGGTTGCATTCTGAAGTCTTACACGCAAGCTATTGTCTCCAGGCTAAAGAGAGTTTTGATGCCAAATGCAAACTGATGTCTCTCTGATTCTGTGGGGTGCCAATATGAAACCCTCTACAAAAACATTATAATGACATTTCAAAGCTTTTTTAGTCTAAAATGAATTAGATGTGTCAAATGAAAGAGATTTTCATTTATCTATAAATGATAAAGTTTAAGACACTGAAATCCTTCTCTTTCTACCAACTCCGTGGTTCTCCTAAGTGGATGTAACTTAGAAACTTAGTTGTTTCCAAGACAAAAAAAAAATCCTAATCCCTATTCAATAAAAGTGTACTCTTTCTTCATTACTGGATTGCAACATAGTAACTATGTGAAGGTGCTTCACRTTATATTTAATTTTAACTCAAATGGTATCTATGAAATGATCTSTTAGCATCCCTTCATACCCATCAATCACACTTCCACTTCAGCTTTTTAAGCAGTAATAACAAAGGCATTTACTGGAGAATTATCTAAATTACTATCCTTGACTTCAAGTCACTTTCTGTTTTTCTAGAGTTACTGGGAAGATGCACTGGGTTAACACTTAAGGGCTTTAAGATTTCAAAGRCACTGAACTGCTTTTAGTAAGATCGGGTTCTGTTGTAATTTTTGCATGGGGCTTTGTACAACAGAGCTATTCCTTAAAATAATTAGTAATTAATAAGTTTTGCTATGCAAAGTATTTCCAAATATATATGGTAAGCTACTGAAAATACTATCCTTAAACCTGGATGCTATGAACTATCACTACTATTCATGTATCGCCCAACATCACAAAAATCTGTTAGCTGTAATACACTAATTTCTCATTGTGCCCTTCAAGACTTGTTCTTTCTATAAATTTTGGTAAATATATTTCTTCGTTCTCTTAATACTRCTAATATTAACAGAGATTTTTTAATAAATTCTTATGAAAAAGAATGTACCCCTGGGTGAAACGGGAAATACATCACACTGAAATCTATTTAGTTGCTTCCACAAGGTGTGAAAGAATTAGATATGGCAAAAATATTTCAAATTACTAATTAAAAATAAAARCATGAATAAAATTTCTTCATTATGAATATATTCCTCTAGTTCTGAAAAGGCACAGTGCAAAACCTGGTTGTTCCACTTGTTAGATGTTTCTCCTTCCTCGAGACAGTAAAATATGCTGACAGTATGACAACAGTGCAGTTAAACCGACCACACTCATGTTCCTGCTTAGACTCTTTCTTCTGGATGTGCAATTAAGACATTAGGAAAGCATGTTTAGACTGAGCACAGAGAAGAGAGGCTATGACCACAAGAAGTCAAGAGGCAGCACAGCACTTAAATTTGACTGTGCAGATTTTTTTTTTTTTTTTTTTTTTTTTTTGGTAATTACACTAGTCAAGCTTTCCTGTTAAATTGTCATGGGAAAAAAAAATCATCTTTTAAATTAAGCTATTCCTCCATCACTCAGAACAAGGTTGTGATGAGTCAGAATATCTAACAGTGTTTCCAGGGCTACAGCAGTTTCCCCAGTTGTGCTACCTGGTAATTAAAAACATGAGCCAACTGGACTGAACGACCACAGCCACAGCAGTTAACCTTTATCTGTGAGACTGTGGACAGTAACGGTATAAACTGACTTTCAAAGCATTTTGAGACAGTCCAACAGGATTTAAAACTGCCTGTTTTGCTTGTAATTTCATTCCACTGCTCCTGCCATGCAAAATATTAAAATTTTTTTAAAAAATAAAAGCACACTACATAATAAAAGCTATATTCCTGTAAATGGGTTGGATGTCAAGCTTAAAAGTTATGGTTGTTTGTTTTGTTTTTTTCCCCCCCAAAGACCTTCTGATAAAGGGTATTACAGTAACTTTAACGATCTGAACAATCAGTTTTTCTCTCAGCTGAATTTTCTATCTTTCCTCCAAACTGACAGTCTTGCACATAAACTCACCCAGCCATGACTAAAATTAGTCACTATTAGAAGTATTCATATCAGTAATACCTCACAGGCTATAGTAGTCAATGTCACTAGCTGTACTAGTACAAAGAAAAGGCAAATAAGATTTACAATAAAGCATTATGTCAAGACTATGAAAGTTTCCTGAATAACCTTGCTATTCATAATCTTGTTTTACTCCCACTGGCCAAAGCTGAAGCTCCCTATTTACAAAATAATTAAAAGATTAGACTTCTTCCTATAACTGACAAGATTCTGACAGTATTCAATTACTTCCTAATCATTTGAAAGACTGCAAGTCCACATTTTTAGTACAGCTAAGTGATGAAGTTGTCACATCTGCCAGGACATTTATATCATTTTTTAGTAATAACACAATCAATATGGCAAGACAACGTAAATGTTGGCATCTCATTTACACTTGGCACCCTCTTTTGATCTAAAGACTTTTTTTTTTTTTTTTTTTTTTTTTAAATATGGGGCTATTACTGTATACACAAGCCTTCCTACCACTGCTGTTACTGTGAGCATTACACAATTACTGCACAGGCTTGTAACAACAGAAGCCAGGACAGTTTTAGAAGAGTTCTCATCCAAACTCATTCATAGAAACCATTAATTTTCCTTCCTTCCTTTTAGCAATCCAGTGCCAGGTCCATTACATAATTTTTTACCCTCCTTGTATGACAGACCTAGACTGTGGGACAATGAGTGAGCGCTTGCTTGTGTCTATGCACTGTCAACACACTGGAGATTTGATACAGTCAAAGATGACAAATCTTTCTGAAAATTTAGTATACATAATGAGTTAAGATCAGATGACTTGGCAAAGTCATCTGATATCCTGACATTTTATATTCCATCTACATAATTTACTTTAGCCTGCTTGGAAGAGTTATGCCATTTTCTCTCACCTAAGAGGTTAGCCACATACTAATTTAAATATTATAAACTGAATGGAATGAGATGATACAAGGCAATCAGATCAAGTTGTATCATCTATAGGAATAACCCACATTTAGCTTCCTTTCCCCTTCCATTTTCAGTTTATAATAGCAACAACAATCGTAGTGCAAAGCCACTTATTAGTTTAATGACTGACTAGCATTCTGATGCGAGACGCATCTTGGTCAACATTGTTCAGCCAATCATTAATCTCAGAAACTCAGTCACTGTATTGTTATTGCTTATAGTTAGTAAATCTGGATAGTGCCCATGCCATATCTTCTTCACAAGTCTCCACCACCTCATCAGCAAATATTTTTAGCCCTGTCCTTCTTACCATGGTTTATGACCTGTCAATCTGAGAAAGAGATCGTGCAATAATGCAGGTAATATATGGCTGACTGTAGTCCAATACTGACACAAGAGGGGGTTGGAACGTAAACTAACGTTAGGGCGCCTTATTGCACGTTCTAACGGATTTGTCTTGAAATTCAAATTTATGTGGTGTTCTGTAGAAAAAAATAAGGATCAACATATTTTGAATATTTATGATTCAGCAATGAACATCATAGATATTGTATTCTGTTTGCCGTGACTACTCAAATCCCAAACAAGTAAAATATTCTACCAAAACATTCTCATTTTTGCCACAAAGTTTGAAGTCAATTTCAATTCAAGGACCTATTTTCAGAAGATTAAAAAAAAAAAGAAAAAAAAAAAAGCTGGATTTTAGTCACAAAGCATTCATAGGGAAAAAAAGTCAATATACATTATACTGTAAGCATAGCTTTGTTTAAAAGTCAGAGGAACAGATAAGACAGAGCTAGTCACCATTACCTTGGGCTTCTTCCAGTAATCCTGAGGTAGATATCATACAGGAATGCTGGGGCCTTATGGCTTACAGCAATCCAGTAATGATATAAAAGGTGATTGGAAGTTAGATTTACATTGGGCCGTCTGAAGGCCTGTTCGAGAGGATTCCTCTTGAAAGTAGAAATTACATGGTATTCTGAGAAAGAAAAGTTGTGTAACAGCTTTGATAATAACCATGTAAAATTTAATGGTTTTCAAAGTACATGACAGTGTACAATATTCAGTATGTTAATTAACCACCCTAACTTTTCTACCATCCACAAAAAATAAGACAGTCAAACTTTTAACCTGCAACACCATTAAACTGGTTCTTTGTATATCAAGAGATCTGTTACAACTTCATTTTCAGCATCATGTTTTACAATAGCTTCTCTCTTTCTGTTCCTCTTCCCTACCTTAGGGGTGGTTGATTTCAAAAACTCATAGTAGTTTCAGTTTATATAGCATATAGAGCTATATAAAACCACACGTTACACTACATTTCATAGAAAAGGCTATTCTAATCTCTCACACAAAGAGYAACTTAAAAACAGATTTAGAATTTGACAAGTAAATGAAGTGTATTTCAAAAAGACATATTTAACAAGTTATTCATATTTAAATATTTTTACAAATCTCATTAGGATTGGACTTTACACGCACTCCTGTTGAGGCCTAAAAATGCTATTCATGGATGATATGCAGGTTCACATTCTAAACAGGTGGAAATTCACTTCATCTTTCTAGTCATCTCTTATAATTTTATGCTGTTTCTTATACAAGTATTTAAATATCCTAATTAAAWGCAGGATATAAATAAAGTCAGTAGTTTTCCCACTTTACCCGAAACAACAAGATTTATAAATGTAGATGCATATAAAATGGGCAAAAGTAAATAGCAAGCATGAACAAAGTAGTCAAAAGAAATAAAACAGACTTAAGTATTTAAGTCAACTGAAAAAAAGAACTAATCTCATCTTAACAAGTTTATTTCTGAAAAGAAAGAAAAAACAGATAGTTAATACACAACTTTGTCATGCCAGCCAGCTTGCACTGTGACTTATAGTAAAAACGATTACAAGGCTCTTGGCACAAGAGCTGCATTTTAGTCAGGATATTTAAGAGCTGAAAATAGGTGGTCATACTTTTTTCAAGATTACTTTTTCCTCTGCATGAACAGTTGATGCCTTATGTAACTATCTGAACACTAAAAAAAGCCATCCCAACAAGAAATACCTTAAACTAACAATAGGCTACACAAGTGCAAACTACTGCCATCCCTCTCAATTATGCAGCTGTACAAAATAATTTGAGGCTGGGTTTTTTTTCAAATATATTTAGTGAAATTGGCACACAATGTCACTACAGTTCCTCTGAGCAATGCTCTTCTCTGCAACCTTCCCACAAGTGGTAGGTAGATTACGCTGTGGAAGTACCAAGCAGAAAAAGCAGTTGTCACATATTTAAGCGATGACATAATTTTTAAATAGTTAAATACATATAATGCTCAAAGGAGGAGGATTAATAGAGAAAAAAGTGGAGGGGGGAGGTGAAACACACTGCAAGATTGAGAGGTATGGCTTCTTTACTAATTTCAACAATAAAAAGCAATATGTTCTAATGATTATAGGCTATGTATTTATTATTTGACCTTGCTCTTCTATCAAATCTTATGGAAAAGAAATACAGCATACCAACTTCACCCCAGTGGAAAGGGTTGGTGCCACCTGTCGTACAGTTGTACACCATGACATTTCTTGGTCTGTGAAGAATCAAAAAAAAAAAAAAAAAAAAAAGAGGGAGAGAGAGAAAGACATCAAGTTACAGAAAAAAAAAGACAAGAAAAACATCAACTTACAGAACAAGTAAACTTTTAAAAACAATTAAAAACAATACACCCGAAGTGAACAGCATCTTTTAAATTAAATGATAGTAATAATAATAAAGAATAATAATAAACAGTTTTCTGCTTTCCATTTCTTAACTGTCACATTTATTTTCTTTCAGAGAGGATTTTGCCCACATATCTTAAGTTGAGTAACAAGGGCTAGGAAAGAATTTTCTAGGAGATGATGTCTTCCTCTTCACTTTCAACTGCTAGCTATTATTCTAAGGAAGTTACAAGTTGAGGGACTAGTTTTTTTGAGTTATCTTAGATTCCTTTATCCTGGGGGAATAGCAGAATACAGATCAGTAGTTAAATAGCATACTATTTTACCAAAATACACAGTATCATCCTTCAAAATACCAATACTCCATACTGTCACTTGCTATACCTATTGACTCCAGAATACCAGGCTGCAGCCAGGGTTGTATTGACAACAACATCCACTGGAACAAGATCTGCTACTGCACTGTTAGAGGCTCTCATTGTTCGAAGAATTCCTTTTCCTGCCTTAAAGAACAAAAAAAAAAAAAAAAAAAAAAAAAAAGAAAAGAAAATAAAAAGCCACAAGACATAAATTATATGAAGCTTTGCTGTCTTCCAAACACATAGTGTGTGCAGGGGGAGGAAATCTTTCAACTATAGTTAATTGTTTACTTACAGCAATGAAAAGACCACTAGGTCCATTGAAGTTATCAATCCATCCCTAGTATGAAGGGAGAAGGAAAAGAAAAATGGTCAGAGTGCACTGAATTCAGCATTCCTAAGAAAAAAATTGATAAGTTTCCAGAAACAAACTGGAGTGGGACTGAGGGAGGAGTTGTTTGGCAGTGGCAACAGATAGAATTCTAGTTTCCACATTTTGAGATAAAGCTCTTCCAATGCAAAATCTGGTGGTATATCACATTATTACATCTTGGAGAAGAGATCTATCTGTAACTTCACTAATTGAGTTGCTAGATTACATAGAATCACAGAATATTCAAGGTTGGAAGGGACCTCTAGGGATCATCTAGTCCAACCTTCCCACTCAAGCAGATTATTCATTCTTAAGAAATAAAATGCAAGTATTTTTTTGCACAGTATATTTAAAGATACCGAAATTCCTTCAATGGACTGACAAGTGGTTTTGATATCAATTATTTTTGCTTGCATTTTCCAAAACAGAAAACATTTTCTCTCCACTTTAATGCCCATTGAATATGTACAATTATACAGATTTTAATAGCTTGATAAATACTCCATCTTGAATTGGGAAAGTTCTTCCAGCACCAGTTTCTTATACTGAACAAAGCATATAGCATACATACTATAGATTTAAATACCATGTGGTATATAAAATTTAAGCTGTATCCCATAAAATTTATAGGGCTTGACTTAAAGTGGAATCAAAACATTTCTACATCCTGCAGTCCCCAGTCTCCTTTTGAATGTGACACTACTGACACACCAAAGTATCTTGAGGAAAAAAAAAAGCACACAGATTAACAAAACATATCCAAGGTCAGSAAGCAAAAAGTAATAAATCATTATTTCATACATGTTTTAAACTTTTTACTCTCTGCTTTGACAGAAACATATTGCTCTGTGATTAGAAGTAATTTATTCTCTCCCCTTGCTGCATAAAAATACTGCATTTGCCAGCTTTTATACCACAGTTGTTTGCTGGAAGCAACTAAGCCACAATTTTCAAGTTTAAAAGGGCTTCCTGCATCTGGCTGTCTACACACCCAGGCTGTCAGCATATACAACAATTTAAAAGTGAGATACTCAATTGAAAATATAGTGACTTACAGGAAAAGGCTCCTTCCAGCTAGCACCAACAATAGATGGCCTTATAATGGCTATGTTTAATTTTGCACCTTCTTGCTGTACTACATATTCAGCTAAGGCTTTTGTGTATGTGTAAGTATTGGGCCTGTCGCCTATCAGCTTAGGAGTAATATCATTCACTAGACCATCATCCATCCACCTAAAGAACAACAAAAAAAAGAGACAAGTATAAATTGCACATTGTTCCATCAGCAGGAATTTTTCTTTAAAAAGTCAAATAAGCAAAAATATTCCTGAAAGTCATTTAAAAACCTAGTTTTTTTCTTCAAAACACACGCATTCCCCTAGAAGCTGAATAAGCCCAAGAAGAACAAGAGTTCTACAAAGAAATAAAGAGACTTAGGAAAAAAAAAAAAAGTAGCTCAGTTCAGTGTTTCACATTTCTGCAACAATCGTAGTACCCAACATTAAATTCCAACCACTAAATTTTGAAAGTCAGATTCATTTTCTGAACTTAAAAGTAACTCCCACTGATGCTATCAAATCACATATCTCTTTCAACTTGAAAAGGTTAAGGGTTATGAAATATTTCTATAAGCATTTGAATACCAAACACTAAGTGTCTGCAAGTAGCATACCTTGAGCTAAGCTTTAAATTACCTAGCTTCTTAAAGTGTCATTCACATTGGTTGGCTTATGTGGGTTGTGTGTGATGCTTAACCCTTTTAAATTGAAGGCAGATTCCCATAGAGGCCATGGAAAGGGGAAAGAAAACAAACAAAAAAAACTAAGTTGACCAAAAGGAGTCTATTACCCATTTGGATTGTATCTATAACTGCTCTGAAAAGAGAGCTTGAAGAAGAAAGTTACAATCACTTGTGTTCGTGTGTTTCTGAAGCAGAGTAGTTAAAACAGCCTAGCAACATCAGCAACATCCCGTGAAAACTATTTTTACACCGACTTCATGTTCATCTTGCTTTAAATTAAAGAATAAAAACTAAGTATTTAAAAGTAAATACAAGACAGAACTCTTCCACCAGAATTATCTGGCCAGTTCTTGCTTTGGAAAGCAAAAGGCAAAAAATAAAACTACTTCAGCATATCTCATTTGAAAGATTGTTTCCTGTGAAATTGTTTAAATAATTTATCTCAGTGTGGAATATTAGTAGGATTATGTATAGTTCCATAGAGGCTCTTCCACCTGTAACACCAAGATAAAAAAATACTGCTTTTTAATTGATTAAATTTCTATTTAAAAGAGATAGTATTTGTATGACCGGGAAGAAAGGAATTTAGAGTTAACAGAAATATTATCTGATTATTACATAAAATGACTATTTTTCCCAGTCTTATCCAATTCAAGAATATTCAAGAATAAAAAGCTAAAAAACAAAAACCCAAAAACACCCCAAAACAAACAAACAAGATCATGTGTCTCTTTCCATACTAGTCCACAGCTATATCATCTTAAAGTGACTATGAAACTTTAGTCCATTTCCTTTTCTATAAGGAAAAATGCCRGCAAAACATCATACGTATCAGACACCATAAGCTAATTTCTTCACTTTTCAGCCAGTTAATCATGTTTTGGTACTTTGTTACTAGGGAGGAAGGGCTTACGAACTGCTAAAGTAGTTCACAAAGTATCACCACATACTCTAGAGAATCCATCAGTTTCTTGGGATCAACAGGGGGTGGATAGACTATTTCCTCAATGTGTTTTCGATTGCAATACGCATATGCGGTTGAAACATGCATGAACACTTCTAGGTACTTCATTCGTTGGGCCAAGAAAAGGAGCTGTTGTGTAGCAATCACATTTAACTGAACTGCATCTCTGTTGAATAAACAGAAATCTGATTAGCAGAAAGCAGAAGTGAAAAGCACAAGTGAAAATTAACTGCTCAACTTAATCCTGAGGCTTCACTTAATATATACAGTAAAAGTATTCCTTAAATAAACCTAAGTCGTAGACAACGTCCTAAGCTTCTGCTTGGAACTTCAGGCTTCATTCTTAACCTAGAACTTCTCTTAACGTTCAGGATGATTTTAAGTTTTGCCCTTACAGTTTAACTGTATATCTGAACTTTTCAAAGTCATTTCCCCAAATCAGTTACTTACTATATGTTTCAACACTAAGTGCCACAAGTGAATATAAGACTTCTGACTTCATCTTTTTTCAGTTTCAGTAGACCTTAAAAGTGCTACAGCTTCCCTTGCATACAACTTTGCCTAAGTTACCCCCATTAGAAATGCATGTACACTTTCCAAAAAGTAAAGCTGAAGGAATGGTTTATGTTTCAGAAAGGCTGAATATTCACAAGATACTTCAAACACGACATTTAGCCCTTCCTCTTGAAGGCTGCTGGTTAATCAAATTACCACATATAGAATTTTAGACTCACCTCAGTGTTTCATTAAATCTGATCGTAGCAGCACAATGAAATATAATATTAATGCATTCTATAAGCTTCTCCTTGATTGGTTCACTAAGATCCAGCTCAGGTTGTGTAAGTTCACTTGTAATCACTATTATTTTTGATTTGAAGTCTGGTTGCTCCTCTCTCAATCTGTCAAAGAGCTGTCAGAAAACAGAACTAAAAATTCAAGCTAACAGCCAGTGAAAATAAGATACAAGTTATATCATGTAAGCAAAGAAAACAAAACATAACGCATTTTCTGCCTATAGGGAATCATACATCCTTGTTTCTCAAGATAATCAATTGTAGTTAGAAAAATGTACTTAGAATCTTCTAACATCATGTTACTAACTTCACATGAAGATATTTGGTGAAGAAACTTCATACCTAAGGTATATAATGTAAAACAGACACAGTTAAAGGTTGTTCTCTGTACTGGAACATTTAATAAACCTTATCAAACTGATGCTCAACTATTTTACTAAAAAATTCCACCCACAACCATGTTCATCACATGTTTTTTATTCTCTTGATTTGATTAGCTGGATTACAACCACTTGTGGCTCACTAGACAACTAAATACTTGACTCGTTCCCAATTACGAACATGCAGTCTTTCCTAGAGAAGTGGGAAGAGTATTGTGGGAACAAAAAGCACTTTAAAGTGTCACCAGAGTAGGCCCCTCTACAATTAAGCCAATATCACAACTGCTTCAACATAAGTCTATTAGAATAGATTAAAATCGCAGCAATACTTATTTGTTTTCTCTCTCCTATTTAAGTGTGTCGTAACATTAAGGGAAAATAGCTAAAAGTCATTTTCTTACAGCATCAAAAGAAACCAATTCATTTTCAACTATAATTAACCTAAAGGTGCAGTCTTGTGACTGTCTTAACGGAGTGCAAGCTTGTACAGTGCCAAACACATTGCTCCCGTCTCCTAGCTCCTCACTGTCCTGTTGCTTCTCTTACACTAGCAATAGTGGCTGGGAGAGCTTGCTTGTCCAGATAGAAAATACTTTCGTAGATAGATTTTTCAGCTCAACTGTGAGGCAGGAAGCCTTCTATCATTTTAAAAGGGACTTACTATGATTCTGTATTTGAAAYGACGGTGTCTGCCTCTAAGGATATACAGAACGGAAGCTACTGCCCTCTAACCGTATTAAGTATTACCATGCACAAGCATGGTCCCACAGATAAAGCACTGAAGAATAAAATAAAACAGCCACAAGAACAAGATTTGACATTTTTAATGTTAGGTATTTGCTTTTCACTCCTTCATCCATAGGGGAAAGCTTCTCAGCACTATCCCACACTAGCAGAGACACCATTACAAAGTGGTATGAAGAACAAAAACCTAGAACACAAATGATGCACATACCAAACTACTACAGGAATCAGATGTCTCAAAGCCAGTGAAATAGATGAATTGGAGACCTCAAGATTTCTTGCTGTTTGCAGCTCAATTTTGCTCTAAAGCATTAACTTCATCCATTTAAGTTGTAAACTCTTCAAGAAACAGAATATCTGAACACCTGTAGTGTCCTTAGTGTGATGATCCAAACTTAGAAATTACTGGCAGGGCCTTCACAGCAGGACATATTAAGACAACAAATCTCATTAAGTATTTTTATACTTCTTTGGAGCCATCTTGATCAAGTTAAGACCAGTTAAACAATAAACTTTGAACCTAATTTGTCTAACTAGATGATAAAGTCAGAACAAATATCTTGATTCAGTTGTGTCTCTAAATAGATGCTCACCAACACTCATTTTACATTCTTAATTCTAGGCACTGAAATCTAGAACTACCCCAAGGAGTACTTYTGGTCATTGGAATGGATTCACCTCTTGGATCTGTTTCAGCAATAAATGCTTAGCGAGGCTCTTAAAATACATTGGACTGTTATTCATCAAGGCTGGCATAGACTTAAAGCAGAAAGTTTGGGTCTTGTAAACTTAAGAGCCTCTAGCAACACATGAGCTTCCCAAAAGCAATAGAGGCCTAATCTCAGGGAAATTCTGTCAGTCCCCATGACCTCTACCCACTGCCTAAATATTTTCTGCCTTTTTACTTGGTTAACAGCATATACAGCATGTACAGAAACAGCATGTACAGAAAGGAGTGAGAAACATTCCCAACCCCACCTTGGTGCTTAGTCTGAGCATATCTTTCACTTGCCTTGGGGAGTAATGAACTATTTCATGTAAATATGAAGGAGACAATCTGTGGATGGATCTTAAAACTGAACCCCACTGCAACTTTCTGCTGCATGCTGTGGCAAGGTATTGAAATGCAAGCAGATGCTCTTGAGCAATGGGTTAAGAGTTTTGACACAACTACAGAAAAGGGACAGTTTATTAGGGACAAAACTACCCTCATGCTTGATATAACTTCAACTAGTCAAAATTAGAGTTGTGAGGAAATTTGGTTCCTTCAGAACCTTCTAAGTACACATTTTGTGGAGGCTCTTGTATCTGAACATTTTTACCAAATATGGACTGCCAACTCCCACATCCCACAAGAGGGTAAGCATAAACAGACTCTGCTTCAAAGTTTACATTCTCCTCTCACTCTTTCTTCACATTATAAATGGGACACTAGAGACAGAGAGATGGGCAATACCGATGTGTGGTTCTACATTTATTAAGAATTTCCACATTAGCCCATCAAGCTATTAAGCAAATAAGTCTTTTTCAGGAGGAAAAGATCTCACCCAAGCAGCATGACCAATATGTAATCAAATAGGTGTAGCCTGCACTTCCACACAGAAAAGCAATTTAGGTATCTACTTGATACTTCCAGAACAAAGAATGCCAGTGCCTTGCCTTTGTTGTCAGTCTTACAGTGATGGTGATGACTAACAGAAATCTGTAGTAGAATTTACTAAAGCAAACRTTTTCATTCTGTTCAAATATAACTCATTTAAAAAGCCTGTTGAGATCACACCTCTTTGATTACCGGTAAATCTGACAGTGCTTTCCAAAAAAGGAAAGCACCAATACTCATTTTATAGACAAAAAAATGAGGTAAGGCACAAAGAGAAAAGGGACTTGCTTAAGATCAAAGCAGCCCAGTAGTCAAACCAGCTTCTCAACTCAGCTCTTAACATTCAGAGTCCATACTACCTCCATCTCTCAACTATACATTCTCCTAAGTTTTGTCAGATATTGGACGATTCAAGACATTACAGCTAAGCACCTTCGTCCTGAACTAAGTAAGATTTTCTGCTTCTTTCACGTAAGAGTAACATTGCCAGGCCTTAGCTTTCCCTTTCCACTAGAACAAAAGGCACTGAACAACAGTAACTGGCTTTAGACAAACCAAAGCTGTCCTCATAGTGAAATGGAAACAAAAGATGGATGAAAATGCATTTTGTGAGCATAAAACACATACCTTACAGCTCGTTATTTCTTCTATTCGTGCTTCAGGTGTCTGCCCTGCTTTGTGTCTCACCAATACATACACAGCTTTCACTTTAGGACAAGATCTGAGCAGCTTTTCCAGAAGTACTTTCCCCATAAAGCCAGTAGCGCCTGTCAGGAGGACATTCTTTCCTTCGTAGTATTCAGGGATGGAAACCATTATGACCTTAAGAGACGGTACAAAAAATACATATTACAAAAAATACATATTAAAAACTTCCATATCTTCTGCAAATCTGAAATCTTAAATGGCACAGATGTGAAAACTCAGTTTCATGCTAAAACAAGATTACAGCTTCGTACATATAGATGCTTCTACAATAGCATTTTTTACTTTTAAGGAATTAGACATCCACTTGGCCTAGAAAAATAGCCGAACTTTTGGTATATTTTATCTCCAAGCGCATGGTCCTTTAACACTCTAAGGCTATGTAGCTGCTCCATGTAGTCTAAAGGTCATATCATGAAAATATAATCGTAAGTGGAGGCTTCAAACGTGTTGACTGAAAACAGGGATCCAAGCATCTGCCAATTGCTGGTCCTGGAATTTCGCCCCTGTCAGCAAATCCCCTGTTAGCATTAGGTCAAGTCTTCCTATGAAGCACGCATGCCAGGCCATAGAAATACAAGTTTAGTAGCTTGCTATCACTACTACTCTTTTCATATCAATAATGAAAATTACACATTCAACAGAAAAACAAAAGTTTACCCCCTTTACACCAAATGAAGAACTCCCTCATACTCTGAAGAAGATATGCTCTCAGAATGCAGAAGTCTTTCCAGTCAAAATATTCCTCCTAATGAAATGAAGGGGTTGGGATGGTAATGAAAATCCAGTACTCGCACACTGCCAGCTTTGCTTCAGTTTAAAAAGGGAATTTAACTTTAAACTATGAGAATTATTAATGTTTTCTCCTCCTCCTGTAAACTATTTGAAGACTATGACTAGTTCTAACTACTGGTAATAAGCTACCAGAAACTGGAAAGTTATATCCATTCTTACGCAGGTCTATTTTTCCCACTGATGTTGTCTTTGGAACATGACTTTAATGCCCTCTGGAACTCAACCTGTGCCTCAGGCTAATTGCAAGCTATTATGTGATAGTCCATATGCCAATGTCTTTACCTTATCCCATTAAAATTGCTTACTTTTACTGCAAAATACTATAGATAAGATGTCTACATCTACATCCTGGTTTATCAATCTTTCTAAGTATTGTTACCACAATAACAAACTTACATAGTAAAAGTATAATTGTATTTCTCTTATAGCACCATGCACACAACCACTGCAATCAAAAGACCATCAGAGAGAGTTTTTGCATGTCCCTGTAGAAGCACTGCACTCAAAAAAAAAGTTAAGTCTCTTTGAAAGCAGAGATTTTTTTCTTAAATAACAGTTGAAATACTGAACAGCTAAATAGAATGAGAGTCTTTCTGCACCTTTACCCAAGAATATAGGGATACAACCTATAAAAGTGCTTAGTTGTCTGAGTCAGCAGGTTGTTACAAGCAGAAATTTAACAAAAAACCACACACCTGTACTCACCCTTTCACTTTTGCCACATACTTACAAATCTTTAAATCAGTTTCAAAAAGTATACCACCTGCAACAAAGCAAGATCCAAATGGCTCACACAAGTCTTTTTTTTTCTTGTTCATTGACCCGTTTTCTTTACTCCTACTCCCACAATAGCAAAGAGGACTTCTTGTGAATTCAAGTATGCCCTTCCCTTAACTTAAGTTCTCCTTATATTTGCATATAACATTCAGTTCCTCCTAAAAATTTCCAGGCTTGCTCCCATGCATAAATTACATCTTCCTCCCATTCTCTCAAATGGAATGGGAGGCTGGCGCAGCTATTATAACAAAACTGCATTTCATGGACAAAGTTGGTATGATTCCTGTAGGATCTTGCTAATTGATTTTTGTGCCAATACATACTGAGACTGCAAGTGATTTGCCTAAAAGTGTGAAAATCGAAGTAAATGTATTTACAGAATCTAGGAGTAAATGAAGAAAGCCTAAGGTAAGTAATCAGTTGAAAAAGAAAAGAACATTCTTCTTTTGAGAGGCACAAGACAAGATCTTCTTTTGAGAGGCTCTCGCTCCCTGCCAGGTAACACAGCACTGTTGGCAACTCCTAACTTCAAGCTCAGAAGGGAATTACCACGTACCTACAATTACATTAGCTATGTTACTGTCTAAAGTTCTTTAAGGGAGCAAATTACTGGAGACATGTCAACTGTGCAAACAAATCAAAAAGAAAGCCACTCAGCCACACCACCCTAACAAAACTAATCCAGTTAAGAAACAAATTTTTGTTCCCATTGCAATTTCAGTTTGACCTCTAAAATGTAACAGGCTGGAGTAGACTGAAAAAAGATATCTGCCTTGCAAGACAACATAAGACTCAGATTTGGCATTCAACAGTGGAATGTCAGCACTCTTTCAGTGCAGTTCTATTAGAGTACAAGAAGTTGCATGTTTGCAATAGCTGAGTAATATCTACTAACCAGCTTTACATTTTTCTCACTATTTATCTAATGACCTGGCAGCTACCTCTTCAAGTACACAGTTGAAAATTCCCAGCAAACACAACATTGTATAATATGCACTATGGAACACCTTCACTCTTATAGTAGCTATTCTGAGAGCCAATAGGTACCAACAGATAAGGAAAAGCAATCACAGAAGGGCTGAAGTTGTGAGAGAGAGGATCTGAGGATAATCTAATTGAGCCCTTTCTGCTCAACGACAGTCACCTAGAACATGTTTCCAAGGATTGTGTCCACATGGCTTCTGAGTATCTCAAAGGAAGGAGATTCCACAACTACTGGTAATCTGTTCCAGTGCTGTTACTGTCGCAAAAAGTTTTTTCTCATGTTCAGAGAGAACTGCTCGTGTTTCAGTTTGTGCCTGTTGCCTCTTGTTCTACTGCTGGCCATTGCTGAAGACAGTCTGGCTCCATCCTCTCTACACTCTCTCTTCAGATACCTATATGAACTAATAAGATTTTCCCCATCGACCTTCTCTTCTCCAGGCTGAAGATGCCCAGAGGAATCTGAAGAATTTGAGAACTGAAAAGATCTTTTAAGAGCATTCTCCTAYGGGTTCTTCTTCTAGAACAGGAAAAACTAAAGATTGGGAATTACTTGTATTGTTGGAAGAGTTTTCTGTTTCTAGAAAAAGGCTTCTGTTAGAGAAACTATAGAGAAACTGATGTTAGAGTAGTTGAGAATTCACAGTTTCAGAGTTAAAACAACAGTAACATATCTAAGATCTTGCTCATCTGAAAGACGCTGTCCTTTGCTACAGAGAGAGAGCGCGCGCGCGAAAGAGAGCGCGCGCGAAAGAGAGCGCGCGCGAAAGAGAGCGCGCGCGAAAGAGAGCGCGCGCGAAAGAGAGCGCGCGCGCGAAAGAGAGAAAGAAAGGGACCCCCACCCCCCTGTCAGGATTCAAGCCAACGCTCACCATCTTTTAGCATCCAAGACTGAGCAAGTTCTATTATAGAACACACAACAGCATCTCTGTTTGTYTTCAGAGCTGCTGCAGCAACATTTAACTCATTGCTTTAAACACACTGAGGTCTCTATGACTCTCAAAACAAGCACAATAAGCCAACATTCTGTTTTTAACAAGAAAAAAGACCGTTTCTCCAATTTGTCCAAATAGATCAAGCTGCTTAAAAATTTGCTTTCCAACTGCCAAGAAAGCCTGAAATAAGCTCCAGCTCTAATGACTGTTAAATCCATCAACTAGCTAGAGGGACAAAGTATGTCCATATTGAAGGCTACATGATCTTTTTTCTAGTTTACCAGAGACAAATCCTATGTCAGCAAAAGCCCCCCTTTAAATTCAGTCATAATGAGCCTAACCAACCACCGGAAACAAAAGATGTGCATTTCCCAGCCTCTCAAGCAACAGCAATCATCCACTAGAAATGCTGCGAAACAGAGTTCAAATTCACTTCCCTCTTACCCACGTCAACTTGAACCTATTACTAATGACAATGCAACAGGAAAAAGTCTAAAAATAGGATGGAAGAAACACCAGTGTATATTCAGAAATGAAGCCCACCTACATATGAGGCCTGAATGCACATGCGTGTATTTAAGTAAAACACAGAAGTATCTGCATCACTAAAGAATTTCACAGAAGTTAAAGTCCCTCACAGAGAACATAAACCACTGCACTGCAAGGATGCTATAGCAACGCAGAATAAAATTGAAGACTGCATTCAGGCAGCAAGGAAGTAATATTTAACCCAGCTGAACAAAGATATTGCCAGCAAGACAAGCCTGGGTCATAACACGGTATCGTGTCTCATTGCATCTAGTGCCTTGTTTCCACAAAAGTAAATCAATGAATGCTATCAGCAGAATGTCCACATTTTCAACAACCGCAAGGGTCAATGATCTATCTTATTTAGACAATATCTGTCCAGCATATCACTGAAGAAGGACAGTATGTTTGTCTTCCTGGTCCAAGGTTACACCCATTGAGAAACATTATCTGTCAAAGATAACGGTCTCTATTCTCATCTACAACAACTACAACTGAACTGAGTACTTCCTGCTCTGAACCACTTTTGGTGCAATTTAACCTAAGTTTGGAATAAGTGTAACAGTCACATGCAAGATTTGGGACTCTTCCCACAAAGAGCAAAAGACAAATTTAACCATGTTTTAGACTTATTATTAACATTCTTATCTATTCTCTGCAAGGTCATTTCTTCACTAGTTAGAAGCCACAGCATCCAGCAGGATAAGCCTGCCAAGAAAACATAACATATCCCTATGCAAACCAAAACACACAGCCAGCTGTGGAAGATGACTAGAACAACTAAATTTTGAGAGGCTATCAAGAGGGCTCCACTACTTTAATAATAACTAGCCAGTGTTTATCTTTTGCTAGGCAGTATGCTAGATGACAAGTAATCACTACCTACTTTTCAGAACTGGAATGGTTCAGGTTAACAGAAAGCTATTTCATCTATAACGGCACCTGTATCTTCTTCGTGGAGATGATCTCAGTAAAATTTTATCATCAGAAGCATTTGATGCATGTGATTCACGAGCACCTTCACATACTTTCAGCCAAAATTCTAATGCTGTTACAGATTTGTACTCACTTATGCCTCTACTCACAAAGCATTCTGT